TACTGAACAACTCCGCTATCCAGATGTGCCTTCATTTTTGGAATATGTGCATAATCGCCAAGTATGCACCCTCAACCTTTTTATATATGTCCAATTTTCCTCTATATAGGCTCTCAGTACTGGGGACTGTTATATTGGTTAAGAAAAGTAGCACCTGGACTCTTCAACAATATGATTTACCTTTATAGACTGAAACGATCTTTGCATTGTTGTATCTATGGTAGGTTGTACACTTTCGGTCTTTGGAAAAACCAAAGGAAGATGATTTTTGTCTGGAGATGTAAGTTGAAATCTCTTGTTAACTTCTTTCTTAGATGCCTTTTTTCACTTAAAGTATATGCTGAAAGAATCTTTATTGTATCTGTTTTGTGAATGTTAAGGTCAAAGCTCTATACTTATGATGACGTTGTTGAAAACGTAGCTCTGCAACTTGGTTTGGATGATCCATCCAAAATCAGGCTTACAGCTCACAACTGTTACTCACAGCAACCTAAGCCTCAGCCTATTAAGTATCGAGGAGTTGATTATTTGTCTGAAATGCTGGTTCACTACAATCAGGTAACAGTCAAAATGCCCCAAGTTATGTGGATGTTAACAAAATGGAGTAAATGCAGAAAAAGTTAACCCTTTCTTTTGTTTTTCCCCTGTGACAGACATCTGATATTTTATACTATGAAGCATTAGACATCCCTCTTCCAGAATTACAATGTTTGAAAACCCTGAAAGTAGCATTTCTGCATGCTACTAAGGATGAAGTGAGTGTGATGATCACATCCAACAAGCTACAACCAATGATGTCAACTTTTGTTTTAATTCAACAAAATTTACTCTTACCTGATTTCAGGTCATTATTCATACTATCAGGCTACCAAAACAGAGCACTGTAGGTGATGTGCTTAATGATCTTAAACCAAAGGTAATTTTTTTGTACTATTATGTCACCAAAACATTTGTTACCAATGGCTTCAAGTTCCTTTATTATCTTGTTATTTAGCTCAATAGGCTTTAATCCCTAAGTTGTTGGGTTCTTAAGAGTGAAACTAATAATCCTTGGTGCTCATTTGTATTTTTGA